ACCTTTTAAAAGGAAAATGTTAAATTGTACAAAATTAGGGCTGATTATACCTTTAAACTCTTTAATAAATAACATCAAAAGGACAAACAAACAAGGAGTTCAATATTCACACCCCAAATAGGCCATAAATTTTCAAGGTAAGTTTGCACCTACTGTTATGGGCCTGGAATATACACCTTGCCTAGCTAAATTCACGTTTCAGTACTTAGATCATACGTACGTCACTCAGTTAGAGTTCAACATTACTCCATACTGTGTAAACCAAAAAAAAAAAAAAAAAAAAAAAAAACCCACCTCTGTTGAATCAATTCCGACTCATAGCTACCCTAATAGGACAGAGCAGAACTGCCCCATAGAGTTTCCAAGGAGCCGCTGGTGGATTCGAACTGCCAACCTTTTGGTGAGCAGCCAAGCTCTTAAACACTGTGCCACCAGGGAGGCATGTGTTATCCATCTCTGGAGAGAGCTGACAATTCAAACTATTTTCTTTTGGGCTATGCCCTGAAACGATGAACTTTTTTACACAATTACTCTAGCCCATGAACGAACAAACAAACACATAATGATCACGTGAAAATCATGTCTATTTATTTTAAAACGTTAACCACAAAAAGTGGCAAGTAGTAACTGGTTAGAAAGATTTGTATGTCTCTTCCTGCAGCAACCAGCACCTCCACCTCCCGCTCCAGCTCACCCACTATTGTACGGCCAGCCTTCTCCGGGGAGCATCTGGTCTCAAGCCCAGGCCAATGGGCTCCAGCCAGGAGCTTCCACAACAATAAAGAGTTTGAGGATATTCACTTCAATAACAACCACAAAATTATGTTTCTAAGTGGGCAGTGGTGGTGGTTCAGCAGTAAAATTCTCACCTTCCATGAGGGAGACCTGGGTTCAATTCTTGGCCAATGCACCTCATGTGTAGTAACCACCCATGTCAGGGGAGGCTTGAGTGTTGCTACGATGCTGAACAGATCTCAGTGGGGCTTCCAGACTAAGATGGACTACAAAGAAAGGCCTGGTGACCTCGTCCCGAAAAATCACCCAATGAAAACCTGATGGTGCACAATGGTCTGATCCTGTTGTGTATGGGATCACTATGAGTTGGGGGCCAACCTGATGGCAGCTAACAAGAACAAGGTTTATTAACTTACAGGCTTAGAAGTTTTTAGTAAAAAACTAGCTGAACTTGAAGGAGGAAGACTGAGAAATCATAAAGTAAATGACAATGAAATGAGATCAGACAGATTACAACCCAACAAAGAAACGCTATAAACAACAGGGACAGAGCTCACCGACCACTGAGAAAAATCTATGGGACTGATGGAGAGAAATACTAAATGTCAACAATCAACATGATGTAATCACCACGGAAGAGCATAATACAGGTAACATGTTAAAAACGTAGCCATTCCAGAAGATAAGGACACAGGTACATTTTAAGCAGAGTAACTTCACTTTTTTCACCTGTGGAACAGATTAATAAAACCTAAGACTGCAGCTCTGACTGCTCTTTCCTTCTCCTTTGAGAGTGGACAGGAACCAGTCATGGGCTTAGGTGTATTCGCTCAAAGGAGTTCCTCTGCTTTAGACATTCCCATTATTATAGTGGGCTCCTAGCATGGAGACGGCAATCTGTATGGACGGTCTTTTAAATGACAGGTCACGATCCATTGGCTGGGTCAGGAATCTGACCCATTGAGTGGTGACTGGTAATTTCCTTTTTAAATTAGGAGGTATATATCTGAGAGCTCCCTCACTTGAAAAGCAAAGCGAAACGTTAACCAATAAAAAGAGAAAGACGTGTCAGTAATGAGCATTCTGGTTTTAGAATAATTAATCTGAAGCCCTTTCTAACCACAATTAAACAGCTGAGTCTACTTCTCAAAATGCTTAGACATCATCTTCAGAACTCATAATCACACTGCTGTGTGTGGTTAGAGAGCTTCTTTGCTTCTAAAGCCAAATGGTTAGCTTCACTTTTTTGGGGTGATGGTGGTGGTGGTGCTGCTGGGGTGGTGAGAGGTTTAAGGGGAAATACCAAAGAAGAAAGGAAAGTAAACTAATTTTATCTTCTGAGAGTTTGAGGATGCATGAAGCTTTTCACTATAATCTTCCCAAGAGTAAAACAAAGAATAATAGGCCTATACCTATATGACAATATATGATATTCTCAGACCAGTTGCTTCTATTTTCAAGTATTTCTAAACTGCTTATTTAGAACCAAAATACAAAATATTATCTTTCTAAGTTTCTAAAGTGTTAAAAACAAAGATGTCACTTTAAGGACTAAGGTGCGTCTGACCCAACCCATGGTGTTGTTAACTGCCTCATACACGTAGGAAAGCAGGACAATGGATAAGAAGACCAAAGAAGAACTGAAGCCTTTGAATTACGGTGTTGGTGAAGAATACTGAATATACCACTGACTGCCAAAAGAATGAACAAATCCACATTGGAAGAAGTACAACCAGAATGCTCTTTAGAAGCGAGTATGGCGAGAATTCGTCTCCCATACTTTGGACATGTTATCAGGAGACACCAGTCCCTGGAGAAGGACATCATGCTTGGTAAAGTAGAGGGTTGGTGAAAAAGAGGAAGACCCTCAATGAGATGAACTGATACAGCGGCTGCAACACTGGGCTCAAGCATAGCAATTATGAGGATGGGGCAGGACTGGGCAGTGTTTTCATTCTGTTGTACATGGGGTCACTATGAGTCGGCACTGACTCAATGGCACCTAGTAACAACAAGTACCGTATTTCTGGGCAAATCCACGTGCGTCATACATTTCCTGCCAGCTGTGCAAGCCGCGCAATCCTCTCATGCGTTATTTTCCTAAGTGCGTTAGGCACGCTATATGCGTGGGCATGTTATTTACACGGGTGTGTTATTTGTGAAAAAATACGTTATACCTTTATGAACGACACCTTTATTGGATAAAGGTTTCACAATATAGGGGAAAAAATTAACATTACTACAATACCTGACAAAATGTTTTGAGCCACTTTCTCACTCCACTCAGGTAACTCCTTTGCTTTTTCTTCTGAGACTGGCTCGTAGGGTACAATGTGACTTAGATTCATTTCTTCGCTTGAAGTATCTTTAACCTAAACAGTAAAAATGTTTCAAAATGTGCAACAGTTAAGTACTGAGGGAAGAAAACATTAAGCCAAACAAATCCTAGATACCATTAATGAAAATGTCCCCAGCCGACCTAGTAAACTAGTTACTACCACACTTTTAACACAAAGCACAACACCAGCGCCGCCATGGAGCTGAAAACTGCTCTGATGGGGTCTTATCTAAACACCTACAGTTAACTAAGACTTCGGTATCGACACGTCTCCAATAGATCATTTACCAAATTCAAATGGACCTTCTTCCTTTCACTAGACTATGAATTCCTTCATATAGACACCATCCCTAGATACTAGTGTGCAACTGTACTGGGAAGATGAAAAGATGTCTGTTAAACAGCTCAGTCCGTAAAGGAAGACATATCCAATGAACTGGGTTTTATGGAAATCAAGTAAAAGCCTGATCTGAAGCAAGTAAGAACATACAAACAGAACGACCTGCCATCCCATTTGAACGCAGAGATACCTGTACTTTGCTAACCTGACAGCTGTTAACAGAGCCAGGGCCAACAAGCAAAACTCAAAGCCAAGTTCATTCCAAAGAACTGAGGAGCAGGCTAACTCCTAACCCTCTGTATTAGGCAATCATGTGTGTGTATCCTTTTATACCTATTATATATCCCTCTATGCCTTTGAATTTTGGTTTCTTGTGCATTAATTTTCTAAAAAAATCTTCAAAAATAAAACACACTTTTGGAATCACTTGGGACCTGCAAGGTCCTCATAAAGATGTGTAACGTAAACCAAAGTGACACTGTGCAAGCAAACACAGAGTACTCAGATGGTATTCATTAACTCCAAAGATAATCACTTACCACAAGGGACGCAAGAGCGAACAACGGCAAACTGCGTGCAGTTCGACACCCGCACCACACTGTTTTCTTCCTTCATACATTTGCTTATATCACTACTTCTGTGTGGAATCTCCTTCAGTCTCCTATTCATGGGGCCAACTCTTCCTCTTCCATGATGACCTCTAGGAGTCTCCATACTGCTTCCCACACCACCCACGCCCCACGCTGACCTGTGAGCCTAGGCCGTACCATCTGATGATCACATTCAACAGAGAACATCTCTTTGCTAATCTGTCCTCCCCCCTACACCGTCAATTTCTTGAGATGAGAGATTTAAACGTTCTATAGATATTCAGAACCCAAGAAATCGAGAAAGAAACCACTGAACACATTTTAAAAATACCCATCTCTGTCCTGTTGCCTCTCCATGTAGAAAACAAGAAACTGAACAAAAATGGCAGCAGATAAGAGAAATATGAGGCAGGGCATACCTAGCTCCAAGGTCTTGCTGTGTTATAAGAGGATGAAGAACAACGCAAAACAAATGAACAAAAAAGTACACGTCTCATTAAGGATAATATAAAGATCCCTCAAACAGCTGGAAAAAAAAGTCTTTCCCTCAAAACACAGAATAGCTCTTAAAACATTATAACAGATTGTAATAATTTTTTCGAGTGGTCACTGTGACTCTGTGCAAGTTGCTTTAGTCACAAATGTTAGTGACAGGTTCCATTAGACTAGAACACACTCCATCTTTCCTGCTCTGATACTTGCCTTTTTCCCACGCTTTCCTTTATAACGCACGTCCTTAGTGCCTGGGTCTGATGGAGAACCCAACGATCTCTTATCAGGGCCAGAGGCTTTCCCCATCTGGTCAGAAGAGTGTCTTATTCTTCCAGGGATTTGGAACTCAGTCTCTCCTTCTGCCCTGCTCCAGTTGGCCTAGGAAGTAAAGGACTAAGCTTAGCTCCAATCAGCACTGTCTTAGATGACTGTCCTCTAAGCAATGGTACACCACACATCACGCTCTAATGATACAGCTGTTCAGATGCTAGTGTTCTGCAGTCTATGAATACAACTGCTTTGCTTTCCTTTTCCCTATACTTCTGGTTTACCTCATATCCAAACCTCAAACCTTTGAGTTCTTTGCTTCACAGTGTATGGCCTAAAGCAAATTTCAAAGGACAAAGTATAAAAGATTAACTTATAGTTGAGCTGCTAGTATTAGTTATTGTTAAGGAAGATGAAGCTACATTTGAATTTAACTAAATAATGAATACTAAGTTTTAGGAAATACATACAAGTCTAAAATGAGCTTAAAGGCAATTAAAACTCATATCCAGTTTAACTACTCTGCATTGCTGGAAGGCTGGTTTTCTGTTTGTGTTTTACACTGAATACAAAGATACGTTGCACAGATTTGGCGGGATGAATGCTTAAGCATGAGGACAAGTGAAAATCATGGCTAGTTGGAGTTTTACAACATAGAGCACACTAACAGTAACATGCAACCAAAAAATAAACTTGAGCAGACGAAAACACTTAACCTAAAAGTCTTTTTCTTTCCTAAAGCACAGCAATATAGGTCCAACAAATGCAGAGGTGAAGGGACAGTTAACTCTATCTAGTCTGTGAGTACCAAGAGTATCGCTTCACTCACCTGGTAAACAGCAAAGCTAGGACTTGAACCCAGATCTGTTTGGCTACATTTCTGCCTTTGTAGGCTCCTCCCCATGAGTACACTGGGGCTACATACTTCTGTATGGGGATCATGTGTTTTTTTTGGTTTTGTTTTTTTAAAATTATTGTTGAAAATATACACAGCAAAACATAGACCAATTCAACAGTTTCTACATGTAGACTACAGTGACACTGGTTACATTCTTCAAGTTGTGCAACCATTCTTTCCCTCCTTTATCAAACTGTTCCTCCCCCATTAACACAAACTCACTACCCCCTCAGCTTCCTTTCTAACCTTTCGAGCTGCAGTTGTCAATTTGATCCCATACAGTAAATTCTTTAAAAGAGCACAATGCTCACAGCAGACATTGTTTACTAGTTAAGCTAGATTGTTTGGTTTAAAGAAGACTTCAGGAGATATTTTTAGTTTAAGGTTTAAAGATTATCTTAGGCAGTAGTTTCAAGGGTTCATCCAGCCTCGATGGCTCCAGAAAATCTGGATTCCATGAGAATTGAAATTCTGTTCCACATTTCCCCCACTTTTGATCAGGATTGTTCTACAGAATCTTTCATCAAAAAGTTCAGTAATGGTAGCCAGGCATCATCCAGTTCTGGTCTCATGGCAAAGGAGGCAGATGTTCATGGAGGCAACTAGTCACACATTCCACACCCTCCTCTGCTTCTTGCCTCTCCTTCTTCCTCTGCTGCTCCAGGCAAATAGAGACCAATTCTACCCTGGATGGCTCTTGCAAACTTTTAAGACCCACGACACTATGCAAAGAACTACGAGGTGGAACACAAGTGCTAAAAGTGCTATTACGCCAAGTAACTGGAATGTCCCATGAGACTATGGCACAGGGTCATATGTTCTGCTAAAATGATTACAATTATGTAAACACTTATATTTTACTTTACATATAAACATGTTGTTATAATTGATACACTTTATCAATATATAATGCAATATATTATACGTTTTATAGAGATAAATTATATTTATTAAGCATATTATATTTAACATTAATATTTTTAAAAATAATTGTTGGTTATATTAAAGTATTGGCTTTTTGATCACTAAGTTGTTCTCATATATATTACCCTACAACCTAATGCTGAGATGACTCTTGGACCTTAGCTGGTGATCTGTTCCCCTCATCTGCACCTAAATACACGGGTAGATTCGAACTGCATTCTCCTTCCCGAAGAAACAGGAATAAATCGTTCAACGCGCAACTCACAAGAATCTGTTTTGTGAAACCCTCCCTGTCCTCCTCCTTGCATTCTGTATATACTTCTATTTCATCACCTATCATATTATACTCTGATTATTCAACAGGCTGTAAGGTGCTTGAGAGTACGGGCTGTATGTATGCCTGTGGGTATTTTTTATATATTATGTATACACATATAAGGTCCCTAGGGGGCGCAAACTGTTTGCGTTGAACTGCTAACCTAAAGGCTGGCAGTTCAAACCCACCCAGGGACACCATGGAAGGCCTGACAATCTGCTTATGTTAAGATCACAGCCAAGAAAACCCTATGGAGCAATTCTACTCTATCACACAGGGTTGCTGTGAGTCAGAACTGACTCAATGGCAACCAACAACAACACACATATATACGTGTGTGTGTGTGTGAATGTTTATAGTATATTATATATATATCTCCATCCACAGTGCCCTGTGCTCACTCTCTTCCAACCCCATCATTTAACACAGTTCCTGGCTAATAATGGATTCTAAATATTTGCTGACTGAAAGGAAGAAAAATTATACTAACATGCTGTCAAATTCATTCAACTCCAGTCAACTGTCAATACTCATACTCAAATATATTTTTCCCTCTTGCCGTACATTAGGATGGGCAAGAACACCTAGAAAAAGGCCTCTCCATAATATCCTATTACAACTCTCTATAACAAATGGGAGTCCTGGTGGCGCAGTGGTTAAAGCGATAGACTGCTACCCGAAGGTCAGCAGTTTGAAACCACCCGAGGCTCATCGGCAGAAAAATGTGGCAGCCTGCTTCTGTAAAGATCACAGCCTTGGAAACCCTATGGTACCGCTGTGAGTTGGAAGTGACTCAGCGTCAGTGGGTTTGGCTTTTTTTTTGTTTGTTTGTAACGAATAAGCATGTGGGCAGAGGAAACTAGCTAACTAATGAGAGAAAGTTCACAGGCTGACAGTATTTTAAACCATACTTTATTCTCTATTCGGCTTTCCTTGACCATGAGAACAAAACACCTGTCACACTCCTAAAATGCCTAACATAATTCACGTGCTAATCTAAAATTATCTTCACTTTCACCATTTAGTCCCACTAGCTCGCTTTTCTAAATGAGTAGTAATTGTAGTGCTAACAGCAGCTAACATTCACAGAGCTTTACTGCATGCTCTGATAAGAGTTTTACAGGTATTAATTCTTTTAATCCACATGTCCCAGTGAGACAGATGTTATTACCCCCATAATTATAATGAGGAAACTAAAGTACACAGAGTATCAGTAACTTGACCAAGCAAAACAGCTCGTAAATGGAAGAGCTGGAATTCAAACCCAGGCAATTTGACTCCAGAGCCTATAATCTTAACCACTATTTGCAGCAAATTCCCAGCATGTACTTGTGACCACACAAGCAAATGATATACTCGAGTCTCCTACTCTGATCACATTAAGAGTCTATTAGGATTTCTTCAAAAAGAAGCGCTTACGTTAAAGTAGACTCTCATCTTAAAATGATCATACAAGCTACCTGGAGCCGAAGGTCAGACATCTGTCTTAAAAGATCCTCAAAGAGCTCTCTGTCATCTTCAGGTAATTCGGAGGACAGGACGACGCCCACAAAGCATCCTGATGCCTGCAACATCGTGTCAGGAAACATGTAGGCTCCTACGGTACATTTGAGAACTGGCGAGCGATCAGGAACTAGAGGGTACAACCAGTCACAAACCTGAAAGTATTTAAAAAAAAAAAAAAAAAATCAACTCATGGAACTAGATTTTCATCCAGGTTTTAAATTTGTTAATACCACAAAGTAAGTATTTTGAAACAGAGGTTATGGATTTGAGAAAAACATCATAAAAGTTATAACTTAAGTGACTAAAGTTTGGGAAAGGCTTCTTTTACTATTCCATGATTTCCAAAACATTAACCATATCCTGGTCACCTTAACTAAACCGGATTATTACTTCATCTTCTCAAGCAAAACTTCAGACCTTTCTTAGGGTAGGTGATCTCACCTACCCCAGGCAGATTTCTCTAAGTATCACTTTCAGAGGGTGATCTCATGTCCAAGTTCTGTATGCACTGACTACAGGCTGTTGTGTTGTTGGGCGCCGTTGAGTCGACTCCAACTCATAGCGACCTTATGCACAAAGGAACGAAACACTGCGTGGCCCTGTGCCATCCTCAAAATCGTTGCTGTTTGAGCCCACTGTTGCAGCCACTGTGTCAATCCATCTCGTTGAGGGTCTTCCTCTCTTTTGCCGACCCTCTACTTTACCAAGCATGATGCCCTTCTCCAGGGACCAGTCCCTCCTGATAACATGTCCAAAGTATGTGAGACAAAGTCTCAATTAGTCCTTGCTCTAAGGAGCATTCTGGCTGTACTTCTTCCAAGACAGATTGGTTCCTTCTTCTGGCAGTCCACAGTATATTCAATATTCTTCACCAACACTGTAATTCAAAGCCATCAATTCCTCTTCGGTCCTTATTCATCGTCCAGCTTCCACATGCATATGAAGTGATTGAAAATAACATGGTTTGGGTCATGTGCACCTTGGTCCTCAAAGTGACATCTTTGCTTTTTAACACTTTAAAGAGATCTTTTGCAGCAGATTTTCCCAATGCAATCTGACTACAGATAGAACAGGTTAAAAAGCAACATTAAAACTAAAACCAAAAGAAAACTTGTTTTTTGAAGTCTTATAATTTCAAGCCTGCCAGCTTAAAACCAAATTATCTTGCTCTAATTTTCAAAACAGACTACTAGTAATCTTTGCAGCATAGAAAATTATATCTAACTTTTAATACTTATTTGTTTATTGTTTGTTTTTCAGTACAAAGACATTCAGTAAGCACATATGGTAACACACCTTCCTAGAACACTCTGCTACAAATATCTGAATACATGCAGTAAGAGCCCCATGAACAAAAAGAATCAAATTAAACTTTGGGTACAATTCCGCTTTTCATTTAATCCAAAAAAGGAGAAATGAGGAAGATTACAAACAACTGAAACCCAGGACTGATTTCCTAGAGGTCATTTTAACAGCTGAGCTCATTCAATTCTGTACAGTGTTCCTGACACCCACTTCCCTCATTTCAGGTGCAGAGGCCCCAAGGATTTAAAACCCACTGTCACGACGCAACGCTATTACCACATCAGCATAAAGTGTCAGAGCTTTCACTGCCTCCCCATCAGTGAGCCCATCCTTTTTAATTTCAAGGTGTCTTTCCTAAAATAACCTACAGGATTTATAATATTCTTTCTATCCAGTCAGGACATCTTCCTTTCAACAATGTCCCACAATATCTCCCGCACACACCTATAGCAAGTCTCCAACTATCTTTAAACAACTTTCAAGGTGACGCCACGTAAAAGTTAATAAGGATTGAGAGTAGGATACATGGCAAAGGGAATGCATACAGACAAACAGTGCCATCACTAAACATCCTACATCATTCGGACTCTGGACAAAAGCACCTGCAGTGCTGAAATGGTGACCTCTTTTCGATGCAAACCCCTTTGGATATCCAATGCATTCTGAGTCTTCATTTCTAGACCCTGTCTCCCTGCATCCTGGCCCATCATCACCTTCAGAATACTTTACTAACTCCAAAGAAACGCCCTCACACCAAGCTTTCTTTAGTACCAGCTTCTGCTCTTGGACCAGCTGCCTCCTGCTACGTTTACCTGCTGGAATTCCATCTTAAATTATCATCCCAGTCTCTACTTCCAGACCAAGGTTTCTCAGCCTAAGTGTGACTGACATTTGGGCTGGATGACTGTTCTGTCCCTGTCTAGGATGTCAGCAGCATGCCTGGCCTCTACCTTCTGGATGGCAGTAGCACTGCCCCAGTTGTGACAACCAAAAACGTCTCCAGACATGGCCAGGTGTCCCCTGGGGGGCAAAACTACCCTGGGTTGAAGACGACTGTTTCAGATGCTGAGCTGGGTCTAGTCCAGTCCAGCTCCTCAGCTGCTGCCTGACGACACTTGTAGGTATTTAGTTATACCTCCACATGAGTTACACAAACCTCTTCTGAAATTAAAGTTACAGTAAAACCTGTGAAAGCTGAAACCTGTGTAAGGCAAAAACCTGTCAGAGAAGAAAAATTAAAATAATACTACATGATATTCAGGAGCCCTGAATGCCTATATTTACACTGGATAGTCTTTTGCTTTTTAAAACACAAAGTCTTGTCTTGGTGTTAAATATGTGATGACAGGGTCTTGAGGGGGCTTGGAGTATCCATCCTTAAATTTTTAGTTCTTTGTCTGAAGAAGGAATTATGATACAGTGAAACCCGTGAGAACCGGAACTTGATGGGACTGCCTCATTTTTCTGGGTCTCACAAGTTTTCCGCCTTTGACAGTGTGCAAACTTGCTACTTTTCTATTCCTCGTTTTAGTGGAAAATATTTGTGTTTTCCTCCTCTGACAGGTTTTCCTCCTCTGACAGGTTACCAGCTTTCGCAGGTTTTATTGTATTTAAAAAGGAACTAGAACTTACAATCATCTTTCTGGACTATCATCCTAGACACATTATAGATACTGAAAAACAAAAATGATATATTCTGTACTTATTTCACATTATTTTTTTAGCTTCTCTTTGGCTTACCTGAAGGAATCCAGGAGGGCGGTTTAGAACTGTATCAAGAGAGTTATCCAGGAACCTCACAATCCGAAGGTACCCAGGATATGAAGGTGCGCTAACCTCCCCTGCAGGGTTTACAAAAAAAATCTGTACTCCATTTGGTATCAAGATCAACTCATCTGCATCGAGCCCTAAGGTTTCAAGAGGAGGTGGCTGAGAATGATTCCTGTAAAAGTTTTCTCCAACTGATGAATACTCCCCAGAATCTGTGCCGTAGGAGACCGTGTAGTGGCCCTCGGCAGCCTGAGGGGTGTAAGCGGGAGGTGCCTCTGTTGGACGACCCTGCGGCGCGGAGGGCAGAGGACCCGGTGCGGAGGCCGACGCTCCACTTGTGGCTGGAGTGTCTCCATTCACTTGAGCATGCCACGAAAGTGAGCCAAAGGACGGTGGCTTTTCCGGCATTTCCTTAGGGGGGAATTCTGGGTATAACTTTGGCACCTCCTGAAGGTCATTCTGTAGCGAAGTGGCAAGACCCTTCTCTAGGATTTCCAGCCTGGTGCGGACATTCTGTAGTGTTTCTTTCATCTTCTGTTGCATCTGCCTGGCTGATTCCCACTCAGGTCCTGTGTGTTCAGGCTCCGTCGACGCGAGGCTGATTCCTCTGAGCAGATGTCCTATCCCTTGCCTATAGTAGGTCTTTGCTTCTTCCTTTTGGCCTAATTCATCTGTATTCAGCCCTTTATTAACAAACAGAAAGGCCTTTTGGTAGGCTTCTCTGATGATCTTAATTTCAGCAGCTTCTCCATTTGGTGGCTCTTGCTCCATTTCTGTAAAACAGTAAACATTATCTTTAATTGTCTTGCTTGGCTATTTATTTACTCATCAGTATCTCCCACCAGAATACATTTCAGGAGGACAGGGAGGACTTGCTCATCTGTCTTGTTCACTATTGCACTGCCCTACTATTGAGGCTGCCATGGAGGAAGCACTCAATAATTTGTCGAGTGGATAAACAAACGAGAACTCTTGTCCTGAACGTCTTTTTCTTAAAACACAGAAACAAAACCCAGAAGACAGTAAGTCAGAATACATCTACTGAGCTTTCTTGCTCCAGTTTCTTAGAAGAAATACAATAGCGTGCAGTTTGCAATCCTATCAATAGTTACAGCTGGAACCAAAGAATCTCACTCTAAAATTCATTATAATATAAACCGATTACATCCAGCTAATTAAAAGTGAGGTTGAAACACACATCAAAGAAGACAGAAATAAGAAAAAAATCTGCA